TATGTATATGCGTCTATATCTGCTCATCATTTACAGGGTATATATACTCTGTGCAAAACTAACGATAGTCGATATTCGTGTATATATATAAAGAGGGACGACTTCAACACAGGATTGTACCTGTACAACTGGTTCGAAGTCGCGGACACTTTGTGAGCTCACTCGCTGCGTACACAATCGTATTCGCATATATAATACCTATCTAAGGCTAACTACTACACTTGGACAAACTGGGGGCTCCTGCTTCTGCTCCTGCTCCTACGGTCGCACCAGCCACTTCTCAATGAAAGCCAAATTCGTGTTCGCGTAGCGCGTCGCATTGAACGGCTGGGCGGGTGGATTCTTTTTCGTTTGCGTATGCCAGGTGAGTATCTGGAAAGAGCAAGCGATAAATGTAGCAAGTGCATTTAGTTAGTTATGTAACAGCTTATATCATACTTACATCCCGGCATTCGTCGGCGAGCAGCTCGATTTCGCTATTCTGCAACGGCGCCAGGCTGCGCAGAAAGCCATCCTCCTCGTAGCCCGGCTTGAAGGGCATCTTTGCGTTTGGCCGCTCGTGCAGGAACTTCACACTCACCGCAAACCCAGCCATATCGACGGGATACTTGCGCCCCCCTATCCAGCCGTCGTAGTAGCCATCCAGCTTGCCCTCACGTATGATGGGACTGCTGACACCCGTTTTGGTTACCAAGCCCACGGGCCACATGGACACCTTTTTGGTGTAGCGCATCTGTAAGTATATTTTGGTTGAATAAGTATAAGCAAGTGAGGAACTTCCTCATGATGTATTCATATATTTAATAAAAAATGATTACTTTTCAATAATACTGAAATTAATTGAGCTGAAGTATTGGAACTACATTTCCTTGGGTTGGTAGACATCCTATAGGTAACTAAATTGTTTTAGGCAATATTTTTTCAGCCTGTTTTGAAAAGGACAATAATTGAACAAAAACACGCAACAGGCTATTTCTAATTTCTAATTGAACATCAGAAATTATAATTCTCTCGAAACGCCTTTATATGTTGTGACAAACTGTAACTAGAGCATTAAAATGTGAAGACGTGAGACTCAAATGAATGAATTGCCTTGCTAGCACTGCTTTTCAGATATACATATATACTTTTATATACTCAAATCAAACTCTGTTCATTCTCTAGTAACAATCATTACAAAACGTCACAGGCAGAAATATGCTCAAGACTCGGTGGCATATGCTCGACACAGACTCTCATTCCTCGCCTTCACTGTCAATTTAATTTGGGATCCGATACAGCCGCTACTACTTCCTGGGCAATCAGCCGTGCATAGTCATGATATTACAGCATGTGTTTTCAGACAAAGGCTTCATTTGCCGGTTGATTGCTCTATGACAGGTGAATTATTAGCATGTATATATTTTTTGATTTACTCAATCGAAAGGCAAAAGATAGATACCGAGAAATTCAAGGATCGATGTAAACAAAAACATAATACATGGACAATATAGTCGACCCTCTGAAATCCATTTTACTATATACGGCAAAAGCAACATACAAAACTACAGCTCAATTTGTTACATAAGGGTGGAAAAGAAGTGTAAATTTTCAATTTGCTGTATAGCTAGCGCCTTTCTATGCGGTTCTCAATGCAATTGACAATATTTATTCAGTCTATCTTTAATAACACAATAGTATAAATTAATAATATATAAGAATGTATATCAGGTAAGTAGGGATCTGTTTCTTTTTCCCTCTCTCTCCCTCTCTCCCTGTCTCCCTGTCACCCTTACCTATCAACAACTCGTGCATTACATAATAATATTTAGCTTATTTCTAGTTCAAAGGCAATTCAAGTGCATTTAATTTATGTATTTAGCCATAATGGCCTTTACACACCTGTTCAAATATGTTAACATCGTAGGTGTTATCATCGTCTGCAAAATACAGTACGCCCTCGCTGGCATTGGCGCGCAAATAGTCGAGTCCACGATTCCTATTGGAGACACCGCGGGGCTTGGCCTTCTTGGTGTGCTTATACTGCTCGGGCATGGGCGCTGAAGGGGTGCCAGAAGGGGGCGTTAATATGCGGCAAAGGGACGTCAGACCTTTAGGTTGTTAGTGGCAATACTCACCGACCAGGTACTCGTAGGGCACGCCAATGCGGTCCAGGGTGTGGGCGACCAAAGGGTTTGTCTTGTTCGCATCCTCGATGACCAGCCAGAGCAGGTTGAGCACATGCTTCAGCGTGTAGCCGAGTCGCGTCAGCTCCGCCAGCTGTTCGGGGCGTCGATAAGTGGGCGTGATGATGTACAATGGCGGCTAAGATGGGCAAGAGTTGAGATATTAACATAATTCCATCAAGGCTCTATACTCTATTATCTATTATAATATATAATATATTTATAAGCGTGTCAGTGGAATATGTGTGTGTGTGTCTCTCTCTCTCTTTCTGTGTATGTGTGTGTGTGTGTGGGTGTTTACATGCGTAACGCGGCGTGAGCTCCCGCTTTATGAGCAATTATGCAAATTAATCCACAGGCTAGCAGTTAACTAGTTGAATAGTTGGAACTAGTTGACCGGGTTTAGCTGCGTGTTGGATAACCCGCTGTACTTTAAGCAGGCCACTCAAATGCCGCACACACAGCCACACAGACTCACTCACTCACTCACACATACACACACACACACACACACACAGCTGGTGCTGCTGCTGCTGCTGTTGGTGTGTCAAATAAATATAGACGTAGCGCACTTTGCAAATTGTCCATTGTTGACACACAAAAATGCATTCAAATTTATTTGAAAAAATAAACAAAGACATTCAAATAAATAAAAGGGCACTGAAGCAGAGAAAACCAATTCAGAAAACTAAAAAAAAAAAATAATAATAATAATAATAATAATAATAATAAAAAATCAGAAAAACTATATTATAATAGAATTGCATGTAAAGTAGTTGCTGCTGAGAATGTGGCACACACAATTTGCATTTCAGCAACGAGAGCACACCAAGTTCATGTCCTAAGCTCTACTATATATTACTTGATATTGGATGCCAGCATAGCAGCTGGCCTAGTAAGTGAATTTGCTGCTACGGTAGCACTATCATTTATTTGATTATCATTGATTATAATTTGAATTTATGGTAATGACTACTATATCATTTTATCACTATTATTATCAATATTAATGGGATTAGATAGGAATGCTAATATAATAAATATAATATTATATTATATAATATTTTATTTGTATCTAATTATTACTAGCATTGTTATTTCTATGATTATTTTCATGGTTATTCAAAACAATTATGATTATAAGATAATCATATTATTCATTAGTATTAATTTTCTTTTTTTATTGTTTTTTTTTTTTTTTTTTTTTTTTAAATGCATGAAATTATTTGTAATCATTCATTATTTTAATATTATTTCGATTTTTAATGAAATTTATTATTCATTATTATTAGTATTACCATCATCATTCACTTTCTATTACTATTATTATTATTATTTTTAATTCATTGTGATTATCATCACCATTTGCATTATCATTAGCATCCGTTTTCTTACTCTGCTTGTGTTTATCAAAGTTATTACTTATTATCCTTAGTATATCATTATCATTATCATTACCATTATGTCATTTTCCTCATCATTCAATAATCTACTTTAAAATTTTAGTTAGGTCTACTATATCCGCAGCTATTTGATATTGAAACAATTCTCCAAGCAATGGAACCTGCCTTTGACATTGACTGTATAATACACATAGGTACACATGCATACACACACATATGCATCCACACATATGTACGTATATAGTTACTAACAGCGAGAAACCCACAAATGCACGAATCTTTTTCAATTGCCTTGCATTTAGAATGCATTTTGCAATCTGGATCATCATTGTGGGACCTCTCTACCCTACACCTCAACACCCTTCGCCCGGCCACTATCCAGAACTGGAACACGCCTCGGCTTGGTGCCATTCAATGGCGCACTGCTGTTGCTGTTGTTGTTGTACGCGGTTTCGGCTTTTGGGTTTCAATGGGCAATGAGCAATTTATAAATTAGACTCATGCAAATTTCATACCAAGAATCTGTTTGTTTGCATATTATTTATAATTCGGTAGGCGTGCGAGTGCCATCTGATATAATATGGCAGCTGATTAACCCAGAAAACCACACTGCTGCTGCTACTGCCTGCAGTTTGTAGAACATGCGACTGGTTAAACAAATAAAGCAATTTCCATTGCCACATTAGGCACGGATATAGCCAGAAAGATAAATTAATGGATACGAGTCGACCACTTATGAAACGGATTATTAACTCATGCTTAACAACAATTAGAGCAAAGCAAACAAAACGAAATTTGTGTGCTCATCAGTTGAGGACACAGCTAATGAGTTTTCTAATGTATCTATGACTACATACATATTTAGTATGCATGTTTAGAAAGGACATTCGCTTGGAGACACACACACATGCACACACAGACAACATCAATCAATCCATTTAGATGTGCGTACGCTTCTAGACAGAGCTGCACGTACATAAATTATATTTTGCAAACTCATCTGTCTAAGTAGATACAGAAGTACCTATGGAATATAGTATCAGCACACAGTCATCATCATCATCATTATCATAATTATATTTGCGCTGCAAAGGCGATTAATCAGTTTAAGGATTGTTGCTAAATGTTCAGGAAAAAAGCCGTAAGAGCTGAGGAAACTACATCTGTATATCATACAGGTACAGCAATAATAATACAGTCGAGTCCCGATAATTCGAATGTTTCGATTCAAATTATCGAGAACGAATTTTTTCAAGGGGATAGAATTTTTTCAATTTATAGCGATTTTCGGAGTACAAATTATTGATACTCAACTGTATTAATAATAATTTAAAAAATATAGAGCTACCTATAAAATAAATATTTAATATTCGATATGAAATTTTGTATACAAAATATAAGCTAAATATTATGAAAATTGGAATTTTAGATCTTTTAAATTTATTCCAAAAATATATTTGTCAGTTGAAACTCAATATTTCGATATTTCGATAAATTTCAAACAGGCACAAAAGTATAACGGAATTCCCCGCCCTGGCAAAACGATGTAAACTTCAATGTAACGTTAGCTTTAGCAACGCCCAATGCAGCGCCCGCCCCAAGTACTCTACCCTATACACTCAGTTGCAGTTGGGTTGACTTAAAAAAGCAATTAAGAAAATTGGAAAATAGTTAAAGTTAAAGCAAGAAACAGAAACAAACAAAATGCACAGACAGCTGCAAGAAATTTTACAAGTGCAAAAATTCCCATTAAAAGTGAGTAGAAGTAATATACGTATACATATATATGTAGATATACATACCTATATTTATGTATGTATACATATACTAAACTATTTACATGTACTCTAGACTGAAAGACAAACATAGAGAAGGAGCAATAGTAGAATGCGAAGAGACTGTGTAATTTAGTTAAATGTGCACCAGGAACAAGCAACACGAAAAAAGCAAGCAAAGAACTGAATAAAAAACAAAATGTTATGAAATATGTTTTAAGTAGGTGTGACTTAAAGTTAATATTTAATATTAAGTTAGTGAATTTTATATACACATATACATATACATATACATATACATATATATAAACTCCTTTGTTAGAGACAAGAATGGTTAAAGGAATATTTACGGGCTCGGAGACGGCAACAAATCGTGAACGAATTTTATGAGCGGCTTTTCCCATTAAATTGTGGGCGTGGCTGGATTGGGTTATTGGTGTTTTTAGTTTATCAATTGATGTTGTTGTTGTTGTTGGTGCAGTTGGTACTGTTGCAGCAACTGTTGTTGTTGTAGTTGTCGTAGTTGTTGTTGTTGTTGTTGTTGTGGAGATGCTTTTGAGATTGCCGTTGGATGACAATGTCTGTGGCAATGAAACCGTCGAAGAAACAGACGCACCAGAGCTAGACGCGGATGCTGCTGCTGCTGAGGAGGCGGAGGCTGAGGCAGAGGCTGAGGCAGAGGCGGAAGAGTCTGTCGTATTTGGTCCATGCACCCGTACCTGTCCATTCACCTGTATCTGTTCTACTCCCATTGTGCCATTAATGACGGAGCTATTTGGCATGGGCGCCCACAAATATGAAGCGATGTATGAAGATGATGGTAATGATGTCTTTTCTGGATGCTGCATAGACTGTATTGATGCACATTGGATGTTGTGTTGGAGTTAGGCATGGTGATTAAGAACAAGAACAAAAGACACATTTGTATATATATATGAGATTGACGGCTGAATGAATAGATATTACAAACTATAAAAATAGGTATTCCTAGGGAACTACGTGAATAACTAATGAAATATTGATATAAAACTGGATTAAATACATTTAATTATTTGTATAGCATACGTGTTTTCTAAATTTTTTTTTCTTGACAGTATAAAAACATTCCTAGCAATATTTGGAATATTTCAATATATTCCATTTGCAAAGATCGTCTTATTATTATCATAGAAGAACATTTGTTAAAAGGCTTTGCTGTTTAAAGTTATTTATTTCTTTCTCTCTAAAGCAAGAATTAGCTCTTTTGAATAGAAATGGAAATATCCTACTGTGAATTTTTCCTCTATATAAAAATTAACATTATACCAATTTAATACTTAAATTAACATTAGCCTAATATATTAGATGTCGAAAAGAGCATTTTGAGAAGAGAGAAGCACTACAAAGCGCGAGATGCAGAGCATTTTGTTATTTGCAATGCACTCTTCAATTTCTAAAATGTTGACCTTAAATTTGTAGAGTTTCTTTTGAGGTGATCTACAATAAATTATATAAAGGAAGCCCATAACTCATCCTTTCATCTCTATACAATATACTTGAGCTAGTTCAATATTTCAAATAGGGCTTAGCTTGATAATATTTTGTGCCTTTCATTAATATTTTTAAATAATACAAATAAAATTTACCCAGGCCTTTACCCATATTAATTCCAAGTGAGTTCTCTCTTGTCAAGCATGCAATCTTTAATTACCTACTTAATATATGAGTGGATGCAATCAAAGTGCGCAGTTCTACTCAATCAACTAGACGGTGCATCTATATAAATATTATATCTATCTACTGGTCATTTTCGACTTGAGTTGATTGTACTACTCAGTTCTCAGGAACTTATCAATGGCGCATAGAACATGAGAAACCGTTTGACGCTGATTCTTATCAATAGAGTTATCTACAACATCTCTGTCTCTCTCTCTCTGTCTTTCCCTGTATCATTCTCTGTCTTGCATCTTTCTCTATATATATATTTAGAACTTTCCATCAATTTGACAGAGAGTTAGATCACTCACCTTGACGACCTCGTTGGCCGTGAGTGGCTGTCGGGACAAATGATATTGATAGAGCACCATATAGATGCAGGTCGTGGCTACGAATATGGTCAGGTACATTTTAATGGATTTTCCCAGTGCCATTTTGTTGCTGAGACTTCCAGTCATTTTGTTGTTGTTGCTGTTGCTGTTTCTGTTGTGTGTGTGTGTATTATTCATCTAGTACTTATTCTTCTTCTTCTTGTTGTGTTGTTGTTTCTTGCGTGTTGGTTTTGTCACTCTTCTTTGGTATTTTGATTTCATTCGTTTGGTTTTGATTGCAACTTTTCAATACTATAATTATTTTCGTCTTTTGCTTTATGCATAATTTGCTTTACAAGCATTATTCTCTATATACGTACATATTTTAATACATATGTACATACTATATAGTTCTTAACACCTTTTGATTGTTCTACGCTGTGGGCGGCCGATTGGGGACATGGCTAGCCGACTTTGCGGTATTATCTAAAATGCAATTCAAACAGTTTACTTAATTATATTATTCCATTTTCTGATTTCTTTATTCCCTTATTCTACTAAACTTACATTTATTGCGGGCTTTGCCATAATTCTATTTAGTCGCTAGAGCACCTGCAAAAAGAGAGCAAGAAATTTTCAATTATTATTTGAGAATCAATTATAGAAGAGCAAAACAAATATCATATATAATTATATTTTATTTTATAATTAATATGATAAATGACGTATTTAAATGCTACATACATAAATGCTAAAAATATATTGCAGACATAAGAATCATTTCAACATTTAAATTGACAGCTGCTCAACAGATAATGTTATCGAACGCACGGATTTATACATAATATATAATAAACAAGCAACAACATGAAGACTTTCCCAACTAGACGATACCCTATAGCCTGATCAGATCCTCTGCATACATTTTGAGCTTTTTACTATGCAATACTTCAGTTATTGATGTTAGAATTTCATTATATTTATTTAGTACTGGAACATGACCTTGAAATTTAATGTGTCAAACTTTCTATTATGAATATAAAAAACATCAATTTTTAGTTCTACAAACAATATCAATTTATTAATATAATATATATGTACTTGTTTATATATCTATTCTATTCTATTCTATTCTATACATTAGATGTCTATCGATATCTTAGTCCAAAAATTAGTTTATATTTCAAGTCTCTAGCTCTTGCAGATGATGAGCTCTTTTATTTGTAAAGGCAAGCAAAGGGAGAAGTATTTTGCATTTTATTTTATGCTAAAGTCTAAAGTATTTTCTGATTTGTCATTCCTACCCTGCAAAATAACAAAAGTTCAGGGTATAAAGAGAAAATTTCAATAAATTTAATTTCGAATTAAAGTCGCGGCGGCAAGTGAAGGTCAACAGAAAATGGCTTAATAATCAATATATCAAACGGGGCAAATATTTGTTCAACTGGGCTAATTATGCTTTGCAATTGCGAAGTAGGCGACGCCGTTTGCTTCATCGATAAGTGACAGAAAATTGAATGTCAAACAAACATTGTGAATGTCAAAGTCTTGTTGCTCCTCTAATTGATTGGCACGTGAATTCATAAGGAAAAATCTTTGGCAAGGTAAGAGTTACCATAAATTTATATAGCTATATGCAACAGAATAGCGATACCTACAACAATTCTCTACATACTCTTAAATTACTTGACAAGCCTGTTCAGGGAATTGTCAGTTAAAACTTTCCGAAGTTGCAGCTGTGCAGCAAACATCATACTGAACATTCATGTTTATTGCATTTTTAGCGCTAATGCAAGCATTTAACTAAATGCTTATCGCGAGCATTAGCAGCTGCTCCCAACTGGCAGCCACTTTGATTGCATTATGCGATTGGTGCTAGCTGTAGGGCTGTAGGGCATTAAAGCTGCCATAGACTGCGTGGCCACGTCAGCACAATGTGCGGAAGTTCAATTTGTGTTGAGCTTATAAACCCTGCAAGTAACTAAGCTGTGAGGGTTTCGTAAATTTGAACACTTTCATATTAATTAATGTGAGACATTTTATTTAGTTGTTACATCACTAAAGAATATTTCGAAATTCAATTTAAATTCGAGTTATTAACATTGAAAGCTGTAAATAATATTAATATTCATATATACATGTAACATACCGTCATTATATAAAAACTTTGTCTAATCATATTAGATTTTTATTAGATTTGCATATAGTTATAATGTAAACCAATATATAATAATATTATTAAGTTATTATTTTGTATTTTAATATATAATAATAAACATTTCTGTCTCTATTGTAAATCATATCAGCCATGGTTAACACTTCTTCAGTAATATTTTCCTCAATTTAAGCTGTATTTAGCAACTCCCAATGTTCCTCTTTCGTTTTGTTTTCCACTCTTACTCCTCCAATTATAAGTGGGCGTGGCAGTCAGCAGCTTGCTCGCGTGCTAAAGCGTTTTAAAAACCATTTCGCCCGTTGTGCTGATATTAAAGTTCAATGGCCAATTTTAAAATTGTTTTATTTTGCTGCGCTTTGCATTCCATCGGCTAAACTTGGGCGCCGCTCTTGTATATGCTTCAAAAGAGGTTCACGAGGCGAGTATAAGCAAGTACATATATATATATATATATATATATATATATATGTATATATATAAGTATATCTCTATAGCTGTATCCCAGTAGAGCCAAAAAGCGTTCAGTCTTTAGACTTTAACAAAGTTATTCAAGTGGTTTTTCTATATACGAAATTTTAGACAATAGAATGTAGAAATAGCTAGCTTATATATATATATTTTAACAATTATATTGATGTCGGAATTCTTTGGACTGCATAATTGTATAAAATTTACTATATACACAAGTACGGTTAATGAATTTATTTATGCAAAATTTTATTATAGAAAGGCGCACGAATCTGGCGTGAAAATCTTCACAAATCATAATTGGAAAATCGTAAAGAAGTAATAAGAATTACAAAGTGATTAACATCATTATAAATAGTCTAGTGAAAATGATGTTAAACGTCATTGCGGCCCTTTTGGTGAACATCATAGCGGCAATCGTCACGACCATTTTTATGAGGATCCTCATCACGAACTATATTATGATGATGGGTGTGAATATCATTTTGAAGATGACTGCGGACATCATTCCGAACGTCATAATGTACAACATCTTGAAGATCATCATGGACATTGCTGTCGCCATCATTATTAACATAATCATGAACATAGCGCTGAGCTTCCTTATGAGAATCATAATGCAGCTCATTATGAATTTGATTATGAACGTCAATATAAATATGTTGCTGAACATTGCAACGAATATCATGATAGACTTAATGATGACCGCGATTACGAGAGTTATTATAAGCCTCCTAATGAACATACTCATGAACATTAGTTTTAATATAAAATTGAACATGATTATGACAATGAGTGTCACTAAAATGATTGCTGAACTGATAAACAATTAACAATCACAAAGTACTCTAACATTATTGTTTTAAACTTAAACTATTGTATTTTAATTTACATATTAAAAAACCAATAAAAGAAATATAAAATTTTCTATAATTTATGTTTCACTTAAGTATTACATTTTACACAATATTATTAACAACTTAAATGTTTAAAATATTTACCACTGCGCTGCACAACGACTGACCAGAAGGAGTTTCAATTTCCGACTGAAGAACTCTCGGTAAAAGCATCGTCTTTATATAGGCAGCAGTCAGTAGAATTGAGAGCAGCTCAGATCTCAGAGCTCAGAGCTCAGTAGTTCAGTAGCTCTCTACATTGAATTGCTTTCTATACATGGATCCCTTGATCACAAGCCATTTGATTTTGCAAATGTGATTTATTCTCTCTCAGAGCATATGTATATAGACATCTATAATAATATTGCTTTGAACTGGTCAAGAAACGGAATACAAGCTGTTTAAATGTGAATTTGAGTGTTTTTCCTCTCAGAGTACTAATAAAGTTATTTCACACGAAGACAGACGATCAAACGGACCTGGGCAGTTCGACTCAGTAAGTTCTATATATTTTCCTTTTATGAAATTTCTTTTCCCTTTACACTAAATATAGACATCCAACGCTTAGTAAGGATTCCTTCTAATAGCACTTGCATACAGTCGATAAAATTATTAATAAATATTCAATTTTGAGCCAACATCAAATTCAATTCTCATTTACCATCAGCCCATTACGTTTACATAAAGTGAAGAATTTAGTCTATGGAATGAAAGACAAATATGTATATTGCACAAATCTTGTATTATTTTTTGACCTGGCTTACAATTGTTGCATTTTAATGAATAAAATGGGGAACATGAAGGAAAAGCAAAACCAAAGCTTTACATAAAAACTCATTTTGCAAAACATATCGAAAACAATAAAGATGAAAACTAAGCAAAAGGCTTTTCGGAAAAAACAATTTAGTGTCAGAACTTAACCCATTTACATGACAATTCCACAAAATTACAAAAGAAACGTAACGAAGAGTCAACACACACACACACACATATAGTCACAGACACCCACATACACACACATATACACACACGCACAACGGCAGTGGCATATACATAAACAACAACAGAATGCGGCTAGATATTAAAATGTGGGCGTGGCTGTGGGCAGCGAAAATACCACAAGTGGGCGCAGAATTCTCTGTCGACAATGATAGAACGAGAGGCCAACAGAGACAGAGAAAGAGAAAGAATGAGCAACAGAGTGAGAGAAAAATAATTGAAACAGCGAAAAACTTACGACCCGGATGCCACTTTATAGCGGCATGCGAATGATGTCCTTGATAAGAGCGTCATAATTTCAGTAGAGACAAACATTTAACGAAATGTTCTTAAACATAAATCTGTAGTTAGGTTCTCATAGAAACTGTTAGTTTGAATAGAAGACATAAAATACTACTTAAGAACATCCTGAATATTCTAGAAATTAATTAATTGTGGTTATGATCTAAATAATATTAAACTAAGAAATCAATTATATTCTGATGACGTTTTCGCTGATAAGCTTTAAGAAGTACTTAAGGTTTCCAAATATAACATTTGGCAGCGCTTTCTATGAGCGATGATTTATTTATTATTTCCATTATATTTCTTATCAAGCTACGGCTTCCTTTCTATTCCTATATGTATATATCGACTTCAATAATATTTATATGTATATATTTTATAATATATTTTTTAAAAGGGTCAAAAGTAAATAAACAACTAGTTTTTCAGAACCAAATTAAAAATAATTTAAAAAATGCATTATATATAAATATTAAGAACCAATTATAGATATATAAATTTAAATATTTCTCTCTCATACTTGCACTGTTCGGATCATAATTTTGCGTAGAATTTGTACATATTTCTATATGCTTGTCTAGTAAAGTAAAAATGATCATTAAAGCATTAGTTGTTAGATTTTAATAATAATTAATCAAAATATTGAATATATATCTGAAGTTAGTAGCTAAAGTAAAAAAAAAGCAAGTTAATTCGAATTATTCACAGTTTGATTTGGGTAATAGATTAGACGTATAGATTATATAAATATTTCCATAATTTACATATTGTTTATTTATCTAATGAAATATTTCTATAATTTATATTGTATGTCTTCAAAGATTAACAAAAGTGTTCCTAAGTACTTTAGAGACACCAAAATTCAAGACGCGCTGTTAAACTTAGTCAGGCCGGCGGCAATGTGTTCTATTGCGGTCTGAAAATGTGCGGCATTCATTTGGCTTAGAGGCAAAGGACGACTTGAATAGTCCTCGCGAATTGCATTCGCAGCTCTATTATATGTAATTTACTTCACACATAATCCCGAGCACTGGCGCCCGACGAGCTTATGAAACGGCTCCACTGTGCGGCGCTGCTCAGCTGGATGACAACAATTGCGTAATATTTCTGTGTGTGTGGGCGGAGAAGGGAGAGAGGAGAGAGCACGTGCCTAGCCAGACATGAGCACAAGGAAGCAAAAAGTGAAACCGACGCATATGAAGGAGGAGCAAACTCTTTGCATGATTTGTACGTTGGCCTCGAACTCTGACCACTGCCGCGGCCCACTCGCCCGCCCAGACACCGCCGTGCCACGACTTGGCACAGAACTTATTGCATTTATCCAAAAATTCCGAGCGTCGCTTCCATTTCTGGTCCATTTGAAAATGGCTGTAAAGTCGCTGGCGAAAATCATATTTCAAATTTAATGGATTAGCAACAGCAGCAGCAGCAGCGAGAGAGGCGAGAGAATTCCATGCCCCAATAAGTTATAGTATATCAAGCACATTCATATATCAAGCAATACAGAAAAAAAAAAAAAAAAAAAAACAGTATCTGAACGTGCGGCAAATATTTTATGGCATGTTTTTCTCCACTTTTATACTCAAATAGTAATCGAAACCAAATGGAACCTGTACGAATAATGAATTATGGCTATCGTTTTATTTCTTTGGATGCGCGCACTAATCAATGCAATAAAATCAAGTCTATAATAATTTAATTAACTGCTCTGCGAGCATTCCTATCATTATCTTGAAGAATGGTATCATCTAAAATTAAAGACGTCAGGGTCAGGGTGATAAATCTAACATCGAGCTGATTAATATGCTTCACTTATTGCATTAGTCCACAAATGGATATTTAGGTATCAAATAGTTATATATTATTTCCATAGCTAACCCTTTTAGAGTTACTTTGCGATTAAATGCCCAAATCAAAGCCACAGTTCATAAAACTTATGAAAGCAAATTAATCGAACGAACCAAATAGCGATAAGCCATTAGCAATTAGCTTAATGCCGGCACAGTGGGCTCTTGACCTACTTTGGAGGAGTGGTTACAACTACATGAGACGCTGTCATTATCCCATAGATCATATGTTTGTTCCATTCAACAAAAAAAAAAAAAAAAAAAAAAAAAAAGACAAAAGAAATTCCTTCAGATGGATTACCTATTAGTCTAATCATATTTTTAATAAAAAACTGAAAATGAACTCATCATCATATATGATTTCATTCAATAATTTCACCAATTTCATTGAACATTTGTTCCACTGTAGCGAAAGGATTTTAATGATTTGTCAGCCGAACAAAGGACGACTAAAAAGCCATCATCAGTCAAAGGCACGCACAACGGCATATGGGCGACTCACAAAATGTGGCCCGCCTTCGAGCCATAATGTGGCAACTGTTGCGCCTCTTCCCGCCCCACACATAATTTGGCTGGGTGTGGCAAAAACTCGGAATCGAAAGGCACAAACTTAACGAGGCAACAGTTTAAGAAAGTTGTTCAAAAATAGGTGTGAAATATTGCCGATAACAAATTTCCACCTTTGAACATATACATATACCTATAGCTATATGTGTATTTAGATATAATTAGACTACCATTTAATACTTTTTAGTGCGTCATGTATATTTCCCCATTTATTTAAGTTTTCAATCAATGTCGAGCCCATTCAATTCTTATCTGGGCTAGGGATAGGCCTTTATAAGACCCCAAAAACTGTCAAACGATTTTTAATAAGTGTTGATCTAGTAGGGATTTTCCCAGCCCATTAAAATTTTGCTATCACAAGCAATCAATATCAGACATATGTCATCTATATAAAATATATGTTTGCTTAAAACAATTTGTTATATTCAACTATATTATATAGGTCAACTGAAGTTAGATAAGAAACAAGCAATAATGCCCTAGTGGAGGACTACAATATCCCCTGATCCCCTCGAAGAAGTGATAAACCATCCATTATATAATGAACAAAGCATGCAAAACTAATTGCCATTTTCTAGCCCTTATACTGGTTTCCATATTTCATACAGATTTCCGATTTTCAGTGCGTTCAGAGCGTGAAAAAAATCAGTAAATGACTTTTTTATCATAAAGTTTTGAGCTCATTAAAAAAAACAGTAAACTATTTTCGCAATTTGTATATCTACAAAAGAAAACAAGGAGGCTAGACATAAGACCCATTACGATAAGAATGTTTCATGTTTAGAGAAATATATATGTATAATATGTATGTACATGTGCTGCTTATAAGATATATAAGTAGCATGTAGATAAATAAGTACATATGTTTACTATACAGGAATGCACATAAGTCAGATACTATAGAAAAATTAGCTTACTTAATATACGATATTGTATATATACATATATCTAAACAATATTATATCGTGTAATGTAAACCACGTATACATTATATATAAACGATATTATGTACCATTTAAGCTAGCTATATAATTAGTTATATAGTTATAGAGAGGTATATAGTAATATAGTCAAATGCAAAATACATATATATATATATATAATATGTGTATGAGTGCTATATAATAGCATACATATTGTAGAATGAAGGCTTCTATTGTGAGGCGACTCTTTTAGATAGAGATATATGTATATAGCAGCTTGTATAGATTAAGTCTGCTTATATCAATTATTATATATTTATATAAGTATAAATTAACAATATAACATATAGTGGAATACCGTATATGCTTGTCTACGAAATGAGGCTTAAGCTATTAGCAATCGTTTGCTACGGAAT